TCAGCTCAAGTGCCTTGGTAGTTAGCCACCAAGTGTGTGGTGCAGGCTCTCACCTACAGTCCTAGACAGACATGGGTGATTGGTGTAGGCAGAGGCATCTTGCTGCAGCAGGGGTCATACTCTGAGCAAGATGGGGCTGACGGCGCCCTCGAGTGTCCAGGAGGACGACGTGTCCCTATTCCCTGGAGCATGTAGGTGGGTGGGTTTTGCAGCTGGACTGTGAGCACCCAGTGCTGTTGGCTGTAAGGACTGGGGGGCACCTCTTATTCATGGCCCCCTATTGCAGGTGGCCAGGTGGTGTGGGTGGAGCCACCAGTCCTCAGGCCCCTGATTTGGGTAGGTGAGGACCCTACTCAGTGGACAGAGCCATATCAGATGTCATGAACCTGGCACTTCACAGCTGAAATAGTTGAAGTTAGACCCCAGGTGTATACCCTGTTGTGCTGCGGTAATGAGGGCCTGTGCTGTTGAAATGGGCCCACACAAGTCTTTGCAGGGAGAAAGACATTCAAAGTCCATGGATCCCTTATGACTGTGCCTAGGCAAAGGAGCTGAGTCTATGCTGAATTCCTGGCTTAGGGGAGCCAGCAGTTTATTTTTTCCCGTTTGTTATCTTGTTCACTCTCCAAGGCTGGGAGAACAGCTAAGGGCATTTGACGGATCCTGCTTCCGGCCCAGGGGACTCGGCAATTGCTGAAGCCAGTCTGGGACCCAGTGCAAAGTACGGAGCGGGTAGGTAAATGGGAGAGAGGTTTTTCCCTAATGAGGGGTTGTTTGTGATCCGCGCGGTAGGCTGGATGCAAGTACTAATCTTTCACCGAAGAGGGCTGCTTCTCACTGGTTCTGGGTGGCCGAGTAGACTCTGTGCCGCTGAGTCTCTCCTGGTGTGGAATATGCCTCCCGAGCACCTTTGCTTGCCTACCTTACTGCCCACCCATGAGCTGATCAGGCCTGAAGGGCTCAGGCTCTTGCTGGGTCAGGTCCGGGAACTCCTCGCTGCTTCCGAACCGTCTCTGCCTCCCTCTGCCGCTCAGTCCGGTTCCTTAACTTTGCCTAGATTGTCATATATAATCGATTCATTTGTTTTTTTGGGTCTTTGTTGTAAGAGGGTGCACTGGAAGCGTCTTACTACTCTGCCATCTTGTCCCCGCCCCTTTTATTTCTTCCTTACTGATTTGGATGCCCTGTATTTCTTCTTCTAGGCAAATTGTTGTGGTTAGGACCTCCAGCCCAATGCTGAATAAGAGTGGTGATAAAGGGCATCCTTGTCTGGTTCCTGTTCTCAAGGGGAATGCTTTCAAAGTCTCTCCATTTAGGATGATGTTGGCTGTTGCCTTAGTATAAATACCCTTAATTATGTTGAAGAATTTCCCTTCTATTTCTGGAGTTTTTATGATGAATTGGTGTTGGACTTTGTCAAGTGTATTTTCTGCATCTATTGATAAGATCACGTGGTTCTTGTCTTTTGTTTTATTTCTGTGATAGATTATATTGATTGTTTTTCTATTGTTGAACCTTCCCTTCATACGTAATGTGAATCCTTCTTGGTCATGGTGAATTATTCTTTTGATATATTGTCAAATTCTATTGGCTAGAATTTTGTTGAGGATTTTTGCGTCAATGTTCATGAGGTATATTGGTCTGTAATTTTTTTTTTTATGGTATCTTTACCTCATTTTGGTAAGGGGTATGCTGGCTTCATAGAATGAGTTTGGCTGAATTACCCAGTTTTTTGTCTTCCTCAGAGTCCAGTCCAGAATTTACCCTGCTGGAAGTGGTTTCACACTTATCCTCACCATCAGTCTTCCCAGCACCCTTCCTCAGTTTCACATGTCAGTGGTTGTTGTTTTTGTTAGCAGCTGTTGATTTGGTCCCCCACTCATGGGGACCCGTGCACAACTGAATGAAATGCTGTCTGGCCCTCTGCCACTCCATGATCAGTTGCCAATCAGATCATTTTTGTACCATTGTGATCCATAGCATTTTCATTGACTGATTTTCAGAAGTAGATCACCGGGCCTTTCTTCCTAGTCCATCATAGTCTGGAAGCTTTACTGAAATCTGTTCAGCAGCATAGCAACACGCAAGCCTCCACTGACAGGTGGGTGGTGGCTGCACATGAGGTGCATTGGCTGGGAATCAAACCTGGGTCTCCCGCATGGAAGGTGAGATTTCTGCCACTGAACCACCACTGCCCTCAAATATCAATACTATAACCTCATATATGTAGACTGATCAGGACTTCTATTTAGAAACAGGCTACCTTCCTGTAGACTGGCTGTTTCCTACAGAACCAGTGTTATAAATGGTGATTAATTCTGGGCTGTTCCACAGATGCCCATTTAAGTGATAATGTTGTTGCAGGACTTAATCCAGCCATGAAAAATGGAAAAGAAGCAACATGTGCACATTTAAGTAAGAACCTCTTTGATTCCATATGCCTAAGAAAGAGTATGGTTATGTAGAGAATGAAGACTAGAAGAAACTTGAGAATTTTGTTTTTTTTATTCTCATTATTTCTGTTCTGCTTTTGTTTTCATTTATCTAGTTTCCCTGCTCCCTTATATTCTCATCCTTGTTTTAAAGTATTGTTGACCATTTGGTCTCCCATAGATAATTTTTTAAAAAATATTTGTTTTATTTTATTGTACTTTAGATGAAGGTTTATGGAATAAATAGTTTCTCATTATACAAGTAGTACACATACTGTTTTATGATACTGGTTAACAACCCCACGACATGTCAACACTCTCCCTTCTCGACCCTGGGTTCCCTGTCACCAGCTTTCCTGTCCCCTCCTGCCTTCTATTCCTTGTCCCTGGACTGATGTGCCCCATTAGTCTTGTTTTATTTTATGCGGCTGTCTCATCTTTGGCCGAAGGGTGAACCTTGAGAGTGACTTTATTACTGAGCTAAAAGTGTGTCCAAGGGCCATACTCTTGAGGTTTTTCCAGTCTCTGTCAGGCCAGTAAGTCTGGTCTTTTTTTGTGAGTTAGAATTTTGTTCTACATTTTTTTACAGCTCTGTCCAGGACCCTCTGTTGTGATCCCGGTCAGAGCAGTCAGTGGTGGTAGCCGGGTACCATCTAGTTGTACTGGACTCAGTCTGGTGGAGGCCTTGGTAGTTGTGGTCCATTAGTCCTTTGGACTAATCTTTCCCTTGTACCTTGTTTTCTTCATTCTCTCATGCTCGAAAGTTGAGAATTTTCTGAGGGAGATTTTGAGAACCTTTAAGGGTGTTTGGACATTTAAAAAAATGTGCTAGTTATATTCTGAAATATACAGCTTTTCTTTTCTTTGATATTGTTGTATCATTAAATTCTTTCTGAGTTCATAGCTCAAATGAACAATGAGGGAGAATAATTTTCCTGAGATAAGTGGGCAAGGGTTGAAAAGAGACGTGTAAGGAAGAAAGGTTGTTAAGGATATGTGAGTGTCTGTATGTGTGGGGAGAAGCCTGGTGGTGCAGTGGTTAAGCGCTCAGCTGCGAACCAAACCGTCAGTGGTTCATACCCAGCAGCTACTCTGCAGGAGAAAGATTCTGTAAAGATTGCAGCCTTGGAAACCATATGGGGCAGTTTTACTCTGTCCTGTAGGGTCAGTATGAGTCAGAATCGACTCGATGATGTGTGTGGTTTTTTTTTTAAGGTGACATTCTTGGAATTGTGAATGATGAAACGAGAAGAGGTGAGAGTTCTTCATGTAATTCCCTCAGGGAATAAGAAAATTGGTGATGAGTAAATGAATGATTTCTTTTATGAGGATCAGCACAAATCTGGTTCCTATGAGGTGGAGGTTAATGGTGTCTCAAGTGTCCAACTTTTCCAAACTGCTGTACCACTCCATCATCTCTAACATCAACTATTTTGCTCTGCTTTTTGGGTTCGGTAATTCGCCATGATGTCTCGCAGAACTCATGGCCGCCATGCCCTGCTGGTCTCCTGGTTCTGCTGCCTCTGCTGGTATTGCTGTTGGTACTGCTGCACCACTGTCTTTCGCCGTCTTCTGTGTTACAGATCCCTCTCTCTGTCTTCTGGGTCTAGGAGGGTCTCAGTGCAGGGATCCCAGGTCCAAAGGATGCACTCCACTCCCGTATCTTCCTTCTTGGTGGTAGTCAGGTCCCACCCCCTGCTCTGGAATTGGCTCTCTTTTAAGCTTAGCAGGATGGTAAAACTGACCAATCCCCTTGTTAGGGTTCCATACACCTTATTTGCATATTCCCACCCCTACAAGGGTGCTCTACACCTTAAATTTGTATTATTAGCAAGCTGTCCAATCCCCTTGGTGGGCCACAAGCACCTTATTTTCATAGTCCTACCCAATCATTTGGTGGAAGTTACAAGACCATGGCGAGAGGCCATGTAAAAGGGATCCATTGCACCACAGTGGGGAAGAGATGGTTACTGGGCGGAAAGCTTTCTAGGTGGCCCTTAAGGACAGTTTGTTTGCTGTCTGGGTGGCCTTGGGTGGGGTATGGGAAGAGGAAGAGAACATGCAGGGTAAACCCAGAAGTGAGAGTGAGACATTAGCAGGGAGCTTGGGCATGGCCATCTGCTGACAGAGCGCAGCAGCAGGCAGAACAGCCACCCCACGTAAGGGCAGTTAGATCCATTGATTCAGGGAGAAAACCTGGGCTCTGACTAGGGAGGCTCCTGGTGGATTAAATTCACTAACTAGTAACTGCTGAACACATTTCAGCTAATTTTTACTGAATGTGATGAATATAGTACTGTGTGATGGAGGCAGGTAGGAGACTGTGGGAGCTGGTAGGAAAAGTCCTGACCAGCCTGAAGCGGGCTGGATACATATGCCTGTGTGTGTATATATTGGACAGTTGGATATATTGGTATGAATGGGTTGTATCTGTATCACCTTGATAAGTGCTGAATCCCTGAGGGTGTGAAGTAACTGAACTGATGATATATGTGGTTCTTTAGGATCCTACTGTGTCATGTCCATGGTTTAATGTTTTGTTTCTGTTTCTCATCCTAGAAACTCTGAACCTTGGTATCTGAAAACTGCGTGACAAGGAGTGATGCTACCCCGATGGGAACTGTCTCTTTACCTGCTTGCCTCACTTGGCTTCCACTTCTATTCTTTCTATGAGGTTTACAAAGTCTCCAGAGGTAAGGATCCAGGCTTTTCTGATTTCTGTCAAGAAAGGAAGGGGCGGGGGGGCACTCAGAGGTAGAATATTCAGGAAGATGGTCCACTGGTTCAGGATAACTTTGGCCCTGCTCTGTTTTCCTCAGTCTTGGACAGTTTGAATCATTGACCTAAGTCAGTGAAGTTTTCTACCCTCATCCTAGGTCTTTCAGTTGATCCGTGGCTGCTCTCTTATAATAGGAGGGTCTGATTCAATGGCTATTGAAGGCCATGGGGGGATTTGCATTAATTACTCACAGTAACTTCTTAAATTTTTCTTTCACCATCACTGTTCTCAGATGTATGGAGGCAGCTCAGTGGTGTTAGAGACCCAGACTCCTCTCAGCTTCCTGTTCTGCCATCTTGTTGTTGTTAGGTGCTGTCGAGTTAGTTCCAACTCATAGCGACCCTGTAGGACACAGTAGAACTGCCCCATAGGGTTTCCAAGGAGCAGCTGGTTTATTTGAACTGCCAGCCTTTTTGGTTAGCAGCTGAGCTCTTAACCACTACACCACTAGGGCTCCTCTGCCATCTTAGTGGGTTGCCTTTGTCTGCATGTTGAAGATGAATCATCATCAAGTCTGTATTCCAGCCTAGAGGAATGGGGATGGGAACCTTTCTTTCCTTTAAGGGCAGTTTGGCAAGGAGCATTCGTCACTTCTGCTCACCCCTAGTCAGCCAGCACGGAGTCACATGACCCAGGTAGTAGCAAAAAACAAAAATAAAAAACCCAACCCGTTGCCATCAAGTCGATTCCAACTCTTAGCGACCCTATAGTACAGAGTAGACCTGCCCCAGAGAGTCTCCAAGGAGTGGTTGGTGGATTTGAACTGCCAACATTTTGGTTACTGGCCAAGTGCTTAACCACTACGTCACCAGGGCTCTGGTGCCATATTACATGCCTTATAGGCTAAGGTCTCTGTGTGTTTACTTTCTGATACTAACTCTAAATGTCTTCTCTAACACCAACTACAAATGCAGTTCTTCTTTTGACCCTAACCACCTGGAATTAGGTCAGATCTCACAATTTAAAAGCCACAGTTCTCTAGATTTGCTAGTCTGCCCAAGACTTCAGACATTAGCTGCAAGTTTAGGGGTTCCCAGGGCTACCTCTGACCAACTGGCTGCAAATTCAGGGGTTCCTATGCCTCTCTCAGAACACCGGCTACAAGTACCTAGGTCCCCAGGACATTCGAGCTTCTAGTCTACTGGCTACAAATTTGGAGGTTCCCACCACCCCCTGGGAACTAGAATGACTCACAGAACTAAGGAAAATGGTATACTTACGATTACAGTTTTATTACAGGACCAGCATAAAGAACACACATAGGGTGAGGCCTGGGAAGGTCTCAAATTTGGAGCTTCCATGTCCCAAAGATGCATTACCCTCCTAGGCATGAATGTCTTTCACCAACCCGGAAGCTCACCCGAGCTTCAGTTTCCAGAATTTTTATTGGAGTTTCTCTACATAGGCATGATTGATCGAATCGTTGCCCACGTGGTTGAACTCCATCTCCAGTCACCCTCCGCTCCCCAGAGTTGGGCTCATATCACATGGTGGATCTTTCTGGCCTGGCCAGCCCCACCTAATATGAGTTGCTGCATTAGTGTAAGCTCTTAGGTGTAATCTGGAGCCCATCCATAAATAACAAAGACCCCAGTCACTTGGGAAATTCCAAGGGTTTAGAGATTACCTCCCAGGAACCAGGGACAAAGACCAAATTCTTTGAGTAAAGATATTTGTACACTGCACATATACTGTGTCTTATTTAATCTTTAGAGCAGCCCTATAAGGTAGTATATTACTTAGAAGACAGGGTTGGCTGCAGAAACATAGCCTCCAGAATCACTGTGGCCAAGCCATGGTATGATGTCTTGATAGGATCAGAGACCCTGGCTCTTTCTCTCATGTTCCTCTGCCATCCTCATCTATGGCTTCCACCTCTTGATAGCTCCACCTATCATGTTCACTTTCTTCCCAGAAGAAGGATGGAAGGAAAGGGGAAACAGGTCCTCTCCTTTTAAGAGCATGATCTCAAAGTTGCTAGGAATCATATCCGTTTGTGTGCATTGGCCGTAACCAAGACCTGTGGCCCCACTTAGCTGTGAGGAAAGCTGGTAAATGTAATCTTTGGTTGGGAGGCCATTAGTTTAGCCAAAACTCAAGGGTTTTATTGTCAGAAGAAGAAAAGAAGGACGGATATTAGCAGCTAATCAGCAGTCTCTTCCATAGATGGGTGTCTTAGTTATCTTTTGCTGTGTAACAAACCATCCCAACACTTAGGTTTAAAACAACTACCAGTTGCCATTGTGCTGATCCAGAGCATTACATTTATGCCTTATGATTTCATAGATGCAAAAACAATTTTTTATGTCTTTCTGCTTGCATTCACCATGAGAAAAAATGAGTTGTGCCATGCAGTATCTTTAAAGAATTAATTTCCCTGCCTAAAAAAGGGTCGTGTATTCTTGTGGCCTTATCAGTCTACTGCAATTGCTGGAATGAAAACAAATGAATTCCCATCAGTGAAAACCCAAGTGATAGAAGGGGCTCACCTGTAAAAGTGTGTGGGATGGGAAGTCTTTGACTGCTATCTCAATTTACTACATATGTGGTTATTTTCAAATCTTCTATTTCTTCTTGTACATATTCTGACATTTTATAGTTGTCTAGGTATCTGTACATTTTATGAAGGAGCCCTGGTTGTACAATGGTTAAAGTGCTTGGCTGCTAACTGAAAGGTCAGCAGTTCAAACCCACCCAACTGCTCCAAGGGAGAAAAGACGTCGCTATATCTGCTTCTGTAATGATTACAGCCTAGGAACCCCTACGGGACAGTTCTTCTCTGTCATATAGGGTTGCTATATGAATCGAATGGACAGTGAGAATCGATGGACAGCATACAACAACAACAACATACATTTTATGTAATTTTTCAATTTGATTAGTATATTTTGGTTCCTAATAGTCTTCTTTTGAAAAAAATGTGTTGTTTCTGTCATCTCATTTTTCTTATATTTTGTTTATTTGCATCTTCTCTTTGGCTACCTCCCTCACTTTTTCCATTTCTCTCTTTCCCCCCTATATATTCTATATATATTTATTTTTTCCTTTGATCTGTTGTTCCAGTGGCCTTATTAATCTTTTCAGCTTTTGGCTTTGTTAGATTTCTTGTGTCTTTTTGTTAATCTAATTCATTAATTTCTCCCCTTGTCTTACTATTTCCTTCCTTGTTATTTCTTTAGGATGGCTCACTTTCTTTCAATTCCGTGAGTTGAATTAGATAGATAACTGTCATCGAGTCTACTCCAACTCATGGCGATCTTGTGTATAGCAGAATGAAATGTTGACCAGTCCTGCATCATCCTCATGATAGCTGGCGTGTTCAAGTCTATCATTGTGGTTTTAGTGCCAATCAATCTCAATGAGGGTCCCTCTCACCCTCACTGGCCTGTTACTTCACCAAATAGGATGTCCTTCTCTAGTGATTGATTATTTTGTATGACGAGCCCAAAGCAAGCGAGTCAGATAGTGTTCTGTTGTGATCCATAGGGTTTTCATTGGCTAGTTTTCCAAAGTAGCTCACCAGGCCTTTCTTCCCAGTCTGTCTTAATCTGGAAGCTCCCCTGAAACCTGTCCACCATGGGTGACCCTGCTCACATTTAAATACTGGTGGCATAGCTTCTGGAGCCCTGGTGGTGCGATAGCTAAAAGGTCGGCTGCTAACCAAAAGGTCAGCAGTTCAAATCCACCAGCTGCTCCTTGAAAACCCTATGGGGCAGTTCTACTGTGTCCTATAGGGTCATTATAAGTCGGAATCGATTTGACTGCAATAGGTTTATTTTATCTGATTGGTTTTCTCAGGAGATTTCCAGAAGAGGCAATATGGAGTCAAACTACATGAATGTGTTTAAGGTTCCTGATAGATATTCCCAAACTGCTCTCCAGGGAGGCTGGACCAGTTTACACTTCTTCTATTGGAAAGTGTCCATCGGATTATTCTCTCAGCAAGTTGGGTCTTTGAAAATTCTTTAATCCATCTCATTTGAAAATTCTTTAATCTATCTCAAATGTATTTGATATGTAAGGTTGACTGAACCCATTGCTGTTGAGTCAATTCTCACTCATAGTGACCCTTATAGGACAAAGTGGAACTGCCCCAGAGTTTCCAAGGCTGTAATCTTTATGGAAGCAGACCTCCACATCTTTCTTCTGCAGAGTGGCTAGTGGGTTCGAACCGCTGACCTTTCAGTTAGCAGAAAAGCACCTAAACACTGTGCCACCAGGACTTCTTAATGTTGCATTAGGAGTAGAGTCGAATTATTTTTTCCCCAGATAGGTAACTGTATTAGTCTCCTAGTGTTGCTGTAACAGAAATACCATGAGTGGGTGGCTTTAAAGAACAGGAGTTTATTTTCTCACAGTACTAGAGGCTAAAAGTCTGAATTCGGGGTGTGGCTCTAGGGAGGAGGTCCTTCTTTGTCTATTTCAACGTCTAGTAGTTAGCAGTCCTTCGAGTTCCTGGGCTTGCAGATTCATCTGTCTCCCTCATTGTCAGGTAACGTTTGTCCTCCACCCTGTGTCTGTGCTGCTCTTTATGTAACTCAGAAGTGATGAGGTTTAGGATCCACCCTACCCTGGTGTGACCTCAACTCACTGATTATACTACATTACATTGCATCATGGAAAATGATTACATTACGTTGCATTAGATTACATCCACAGGTATAGGGGTTAGGATTCCAACACATATTTTTTGGGGATACAATTAAATCCATAATAGTAACCAAACATTATTTATTAAATCTTCCTTTACATGTTGAATTATAATACAAACTTGATCATGTGCTAAATTCTTGTATATACTCCAGATTTTTGGGAGGCTGCTTTTCTGTTGATTTCTCAATCAATTCTTACATCAGTACTGTGCTGTTTTAATTATTTTTTCTTTATTAAATGTTTGAGTATCTGCTGGAGTAA